GGATACTTAAAAACGTACGTACATAGGTTGGAACCTATGTCAACTTATTCCATTATTTCATCTGCGATAGGAGCACGGGGACAGGAAATTTGATAACATTTGGAACATACACTACATGCAAATGCAAAACCAGAATCTATGCAGAAATGTTATAAAATATTCTTTGGGAAACACAATTACTTAAAATACTATGAGATACAATTTACCATACCTTCTTGAAAAACTCTTTCAACATGCCAGTGTTTAAATTTTCCATTATTTTGACTGCAACAGCCACGTCTTGAGAGCTGATAAGTAATGCAGCCAGTGATGAACCCGAAATACTGATCAAATGGTGGGACTAAAGAAAATGCATAAAATAAATATTTAAATTTAAAATAAATGAATGAAAATGCATCTATTAAAAATGTCAATGACAGTGCTGCAAATGCATATGTTACATTTAAATCTTAAAATTAATTACAAGAAAAAGGTCAAGTTATCCTTGTAAACAGGCTGTGGAGGCCAATACGGTTGTGAGATGTCGAGGCTACCACATTTTCTAGACAATTGGCTCACCAATGGCAGTGAGGTTGTCAGCCTTATCTGCCGATCACCCTTTACCCCCAGGAAGATTCCTGGTACTTATTTCTATTAGAGACTGAGTTGACCCCAGGAACATAGTGCGGCTGGAAGGATTAGATGAACTGAAAAATCCAACAATCTCATCAGGAATCGAACCTCCGACTTTCCGGCTTGTAACATAGTGCCTCAACCAACTGCACTACCGAATGACCCTAAAATTAACTATAATAATATTATGAAGAATGCAGTCTTCTGGGATTTGGCACCGTGTATATGTGGTGTTAACCGACGTTTCGGAGGAACGTATCGCCCCCATCTTCAGGGTTGAAGAAAAAGTATAAGTAAATCTGCAAGCGACAACACCGTGAGACACGATAAAGCAGACTAAAGAGTATACCGTTAGAGCAGAGAGGGAAGGGGATGAACTGCAAGTGAACAAGTGAAAGCAGTGGTGTGGGAGGGGTGGGGGAAGGGAGCCGGGACAAGCGATTTTGTGTAGGGGAGAGATAGCAAGGTTAACTGGCTGGGCTTTAACTGTGAGCTGAGGGGGGGGG